GGAATGTGACTTTAATAAAATGGATTTTCTTTAGAAGACTTTTTAAATTCATCCTGAAATTAATTCAGGCTGGTCTTTTCTATTGTCGGTCCTGGTGAGTGAGAATATTTTACAAGTTTTACTCCGATGTATGAAATTTAAGCTCCTGGGGCTGGGGCAATGGCTCAACCCTTAAGAGCACTTGCTGCTCCTCCAGAGGACCTGGTGGCTTTGTAACTCCACTTCCAAGGGATTTGACACCCTGTTCTGACCTCTGGGGCACTGTACTCACATGGTGCGCAGATATAAATGAAGGCAAAATGCCCATACACACAAAATAATAATTAAAAAAATGAAATTCAAGTGCCCATGGATAGCAGTGACATCTCACGAAGCCCTCGTATGCACTACTTATATCCAATCATAGTTAAGTGTGCTTCTCTGAAAGCGACCATATTCCACCACTGCCTGCAGGCCTGGTGTTACACTCACCTTCAGAGTAAACTGTTGTTGGCACAGTGACTTGCCTCCCAATATTCAGGAGCTGGATTCAACAGGCATATGCCTCAAAACTTAGGGACACAGAAATACTGTACACTGAGTTAATACCAATCACTGTCCAGGCAATCGACCTATTGTCTTATTTAATCCTCACCCAGCCCTTTCAACATCAGTTTACTGATGAGGTCATTGTCCCTTAGGGTTGTTAAACACATCTGAAGTCAAACAGCAAAGACTGTGATGGAGCTAGGATAGGAGCCCAGTGTGAGGGCCAATCTTGGTTGTCAACTTAATGGGATTTCAAATCATCACGGAAAAAAACATTTGGGTGTGCCAATGGGGTGTGTGTGTTCTAGAATGGGTTTATTGAGGTGGAAAGAGCCACCCTCAATGTAGGTAGCAACGCCCTATGGGCTGGGGTCCTGGAAAAATAGATGATAAAAATAGTGCACAAGCACTCATCTCTCTGACTCTTGACTAGGGATGGTGTGACATGCTGGTTCAAGCTCCTGCTGTCGTGATTTCTCCCCCACCACGAGTCGTACCCTGAGAGCCAAAGAAAGTCTTCCAGACCTAGGTGGCAAAATTTTGTCAGGTATTTTTATCACCACAATGAGAAAAGTTACAGCACACCAGGTCTGCTCCTTTTGATCTCTTCACAGGAGAGCACGGTCACCCATGACAATGGTGGTCTTTACCAACAAGGATTCCAAAATTCTCCCATACTTTGGCAAGAGTACCTTTACTTCTTTTTACAGTATATGTGTATATATATGTATGTATGCATGCATGTATGTACATATATATTTATACATATATACACTGTAAAATACAAATGCGTAGATATTATATATACATATATGTATATATTGTAAAATATATATTGCATCTTGAGAGAATGATTTCCCCCAGTTTCCTCCTTTCTCAGTTATTCTCTCTGTCCCCAAGCCTGTATAGAGATAGTGAGTGGACTATCTCTATAATTGCCATCTTGTGCCAACGGGCTTCTGTGCTGCTCCTTCCTCCCTGCACCTCCTCAGCTGGCTGGTGAGATGGCCACATAGGAGCTTTTTCCATAATACGGCCTCAAAGATATATATATATATATATATATATATATATATATATATATATATATATATATATATATATATGTGGTTTTCAATTCCAAGTCATGAAGATTTGAGCTGCCCTTTCAGAAGTGAGGACTTGTCCCGCCTCTCTCCTGTATTTATTCTTACTCCTATGACTTCACCCAAGTTTAAATGCCATCTGGATGCTGATGTCTTCCACATTTGCAACTATGGTTCTCGCTCCTGAAATCCAGACTCATATATCCAACTGCCTACACCACCCCTCCTCTGAATGCTTAATAGAAACCCCAAGCACGACATGTTCAAGATCTGTGATCCCTTCCCCACCCACAGACACGCTTCATCCGAGTCTTCCCCATATCAGGGGATGGAAATATCTTCCTTCCAGTAGCTTGCACTAAAAATTTCATGGGAATTCTTGGTTCTGTCTTCTCTTACACATTAAACATCTGATTTACCGAGAAATCTCCTTTTGTCCCTTTAAAATATATCCAATCACTTATCACCACCTTCTCCTCATTGACCTGGTCACCATCAATGCCACTGTCCCATTATTTGGATGGTTGTAATCACTTTCTGTTTTCACCCTTGCCACGCTGTAGTGTATTTAAAAATTTTTAGACTCATTTATTTTATATGTATGAATGTTTTGCCTGCATGTATTATGAAAATCCTTGTGCATACCTGGTGCCTGCAAAAAAGTCTAAAGAGGGCTTTGGATTCTTTGGAGCTGGAGTTATCGACAGCTGTGAGCTCTGGGAATTGAACTAGGGTCTTCTGCATGAGGACCAAGTACTCTTAGTCACAGAACCATCTCTCCAGCCTTTCTCTAGCCTATTTTTAGTCAAGTAATCACAGTACACTTTTTTTCTCTATGTATGGTATATGTATATGTGGTGTGTGTGTGTGTGTGTGTGTGTGTGTGTGTGTGTGTGTGTGTGTGTGTGTGTGTTACTTCTCCCTGTCTCATTTAAGAGTGTGGAAGCAGGATACTATAATAGGTGTCCCAAGCAGGTAGCATCATCCTCACCTTGACCTGCATTTGTAGGCTGATGCCAGTATAACCTGCTACCTCTTACTGAGGCTCAGGGGTGGGAAGATACCTAGGTTGCATGCTTGAGGATGATTCATTTCAGGCTCCCTACCTGCCACAGGGCCAACCTTCCCCTGCTGGAGGCTGTAGGAAATTGAACTGGAGGGAAGAGAGCTGTGGTTTCCTGCTGAGCAAATCAATCCCTTTCTGCCAATGTCCTGGGCATGGTGGTGTCTGGGCCAATTCTGTGTATCAAGCCATCATTATCCCTGGGGTGAAACTCCTTTCAGATGTGTGACAAAGGTCACCATGGGGGACACCTCCCTTAGAACATCTGCTATTAGAGGACCTATTATCATGTCTCAGCATGTAGGCCAGGGTGTCCTGCTTAACCTCACCCCTCCTCATTTTCTCTCTGTGGCCCCGGCAGGTGTTGAGCATGAGGGATGGATGGAGGAGAGAATACATCTATTTCCTCTTTCTGTGTTTCTGCTTCAGTGGTGGAAACATCATAAGCTCCCTATGACAGCACAGAGACTTGGCCCTGGAACACTTTTCCTGCACCCCCACCCCCCACCCCGCACCTGTTACTGTGACTGAAGGGGGATGCTCATTTCTCCAGTAACTGAGATGCAGTGTTGATAGGGACAGATCCCCTCTCTGAACTCTCCCCAGTCCCTTCGATGTTCAGCAAATTTTGTAATGCCGCCACTCTGGAATGCTTCGGCTCCCTCCTTCCAGCTTGCCTGTCTTCTTCCTCCCTTCCTCCCTCCCTTCCTCCCTCCATTCTTCTATCTTTTCTCCCACTTCCTCTCTCTTCCCTTCCTCTGCTTTTCCTTCTGTGTCAGTAACCACTTCACTTAATATTAATCAGACTGGTGTAGGGGGAGAGGAGGGGAGCAAAAGACCCCCTAATGATCCCCTCTGCTAGTGGAAATCAGACAGATTGTATGTTGGGGCTTAATGTGCAATTTCATGGCTTTTCATGGTCTCTAAACTGCAAATTCAAGATTATTTGAAAACATTTTATTTAATTTTCATGCCTTTTTAATCAAAAAAGTTAAAAGAATAATAATCTTTTATAGGCAGTTATAAATGTGCTATTTACACACAAGACAGAAATATCTCCCTTAGCCGAGCAATCTAAGCGTGTGCTTAGAGAGAACTCCACAAGAATACTGATGAGGAAGGGCATGGCTGTGTGTGGAAAGGATTTAAGTCAGCCTTGTAGGTGATGTATGTTGAGGTTCACCATTGTGTCATCCCATCTGTTCCCCAACCTCTTCAGACAGGAGTGACTTGATGGTGAGCCCCTTATGGGGAGGACCAGCATCTCAGCCATCTTTACATTCCTACTAAAGATGTGGGCTGGGAGAAGCAGCCAGCGATAGAGTGATAGAGGGTCGTGATTTCTGTACCATCCTTCCACTGTCTCTTCTACACCACACTGGAGGCATAAAGCAGCAGGCCAGCTGAGCTACGGGCTTGGGGAAGCACTCTGCAGGGAGATGTGGGAATTCAAATGTCCACATGTTCTTTTTTTTCTATTGTTGGAAATCATTATCTGCCTGTTGTTTGATTCACAAATCTAGACCTTTAAGATTTCAAAAACCCAGGGTTGAACTTTTTCACTTTGTGAATGAAGAAGCAGTATTAAAGTGAGGGGGCCCCTTGACAGAGGTCAAGGCAGAGACTTGAATTCCAGTTTCCTGCCCATTCCTAGCTAGATGTCCCTGCTGTTCCCCATCTCGACTTTGATCTCCTGATCTGTGTTGCCTCACATGTTTTCCCCCCGGTCCTGCGACTTCTAGGTTTACCTTCTCTGTTCTTCCCCCCTTCACCTCAGCACACTTTCTTCTTTTCTGATTAAGAAGTTTAGGATGAAGTAATCTGAAAGCCTGGGAAGCTGGCAGAACCCTACAGATTCATGAGGTGTGGAGAATGAAGGAAGGTGCCACCCAGCCCCCTTCTGGAAGATCAGACTTGGATCAGGTGTGGTTCTGAAAAGGTCCATATTGGGTCCAAAGTACCTGGTGGGTTTTTTTTTTTATCACATATTTGGCAAAGCCCCAACTACACAGATAGCTGACATGGTAGAGTCAGTCAGCCAGTAGAATCCCCGAGCTCATTACCAATCCACAGGATAACGATGACCACATCATCATAATCGTTATTGCCTTAGACAGGCGTGGATGACAAAGGCACTCTGGGGACTTGTGTTTGAAATGGGCTGCTTCTTAGTCAACCCTGACTCTCTGGAGTGACTTTCCACAGAATTAAAGGATCGTGAGGCAGAAAGGGGCCCATGGAGATCATCAGTTCTGGCTTCCTGCCTTCCGACAGGACTAACCTTTGTAGAATAGTTGCTGTAAAGGAAATTGAACCAAACTTACTTTTATATGTTATTCTTGTGATAGTATCTCTGTTGAGCATTCGATTAAGAAATGGGTTTGATGAATCAGAAACCTATAGGGCGAGAGAAAGTATTAATGACTAAGTTTCAGTCACTCTTCCAGGGCAAACATCTCCACGCATTATTTCATTCCTTCATACTGATGGCTTACTATGGGTCCAAATCTATGATGGTTGGAAATTCAGAGATCAGAGACACACACTCTACTCTGTATGGACACCTCATCTCCAGAAGGAAGAGAGGTAGGTGAACAAATGGTCCTCATGTGGATTAAGGACTGCTCTGACAGAGTCACTAGGGAGAGACCACCCACTGTCTGGGAATCAGGGGAGCTAGCGTCTGAGTTGGTTTGGAAGAATGGATGGCAGCTGACGTTTTTTAATACTAGAATATGGGAAAGGAAAAAAAGGCAAGGAGCACAGGAAAGCATCCCTGCTGAGGACCTGTTCATGAGAGGCAGATACTCACACAAATATCCAGTGCAGTTGGAGCTAAGGGCATGGGAAAGGACAGGATGGGAGGCTAACCCATGTTAGGTTTTGAATGTCACAAGAGGATACATTTAAACTTTATTCCTCAGGAATGGGGTTTTGAGCAGGGAATATGGAATGAAATGTCAGGAAAGGGGCACTTGTCTAAGTAGAAAAAGTATCTGGAATAAGGGTACCAGAAGAGCGAGGAAAAAGTGAAGCTTGTAATTCCACAGCTCATTATCATATGAATATATTATAAACCACAACATTCAATCTTCCATCCACTCACCCATCCATCTATCCTAGAAAGATTTACCAAGTATCTTAAACAGACTAAACATTGTACTAGAGATGAGTTTCCATTTTGTACTTTTGCTCTTACATATCCAGATTCTTCCTCTGGGGGAAGCAGCTCAGCAATGGATTGGGGTCAGAGAATCACCCTTCATCATGAGGCAGCCTCGTGGAGCTGTGTAGTTTCCTTAACAACACCCCTTTTGCTCAGTCTTTTCTCAGTACCGCTGTTCATCTTAGTCATTTCTCTCCTACCTTGCTCAGCGCAGCTCTGCAATTTACATCTCAGCTGCTAATCGGGTGTTGTGACACATCCACGTTTTAAATCTGATTTATTCCGAGGTTTGGAAAAATCACGGCAGATGATCATCGTTATTAGATAAGCAACAGGTAACTTTAGTTGGGAGAAAGCACAGGCTGTTTATTTTGTCTCCATCTGTCTTTCTTTTCACACGGATTTCTGGGCGTGTTGGAGTGAGACACACAGCTAACCAGTGCTTGGGGAACGCCGATGCTCAATGGAGGCAAAAATCTACCTCCAACGGGGGGAAAAGTCCCAAGCTGAACACTGCTGCTCCCTGGAGACAGTATGTGCAATTCAGCTTCTATTGTGACATACTTTTTAGCATCAAAAGGACAGCTCAGAGCCTCCTCCTCTTTGTACCGATATACTCCGTGACAGCAGGGGGGGCATGAAGGTGTCTGGTGGAGTAGGAATCTGCAATGGGTCTCAATTGCTGGGTGCCTTGGGTTCCTGGTACCTGACAAGCTGGACAATACTGCTGTTGAGACCAGTCAGTCCCCTTTGGGGCTGATTAAAAATTATTGAAATATTTCCAAAGTGCACACAGATGATTTGTGGGCACAAGTGTGTTGGCAGTGTGGGTGAGAGGATAAAATATGTACTTGATATAAGTGAGCTAAGTGGGAAGTTAATGGTGTGTGTTCGAACAGCAATTATAGCCAAATCTCAGCTCCCTGTGGTCACGGGAGGGAGGGGGAAACAAGTCTCTCTTATTGATTGAGTGACTGATTGATTGTGTGTGTGCACACACTTGTGCCTCAAAGAATGTGTAGATCTCAGAGGCCAACTCATGGGAATCAGTTCTCTCTTTCCACCAAGGTCTCAGGAATTGAACTCAGGTCATCAGGCTTGTCAACATGTACCCTTAACTGCTGAGCCATCTCCTTTTACCACCAAACCCTCAGCCATCCCTGGCTCAGGATTTGGTCAGGGTGACATTTCTTCAGATGAACCACTCATATGTGGGGACTTCACATCTTGCATTCTTGCTGTACCTACAGGGAACTGGAAGTGGGAGGCAGCAGCATCAGAAGGAGGGTTGATGTCTGACTGTCAGAGGCTGCACATCTGTAGAGACTAAGGATTCAGTCCATCTCATTTCTGGGTACTAATGTCTAGCAGAGGATGGGCCTCTGTCCCATGCTCAGTTGGAGTTTTGAGATGAGTGGATGACAAGTCAGAGCTCAGCTAGCTCACCATGGAGCTGGAAATCTGGGAGTTGATTTTGTGGAAGAAAGAGGGAATGCTATTGTTTATTTTGAGACTGAGCCAGAAAAGTTCAGGTTTGCTCAAGGAATGGTAAATTCCCCAGGGCCCAAACTGGTCTGAGAAGATTCAGGAGCTGGCCACTGTCCTTTACTGGCCTAAGGCTTTAGCGTAGGTCCTCCCAACCTTCAGGGGAGCAACCAGGACCTGCAAGCCTGACTGTTGGTCAGGACCTCAGTGTATTGCAAGTTTCTGCATGAGCTTGTGAAGCACCGGCAGTTCACTGTGGAGGAAGTTGGCTGCCGGTCATTCCATCCGTCACTGTCAGCTGTTACATGCTTGAGCTTCCAGGGTGGCATTCACTGACTTAGAAACTTTGAGCCAAGTGAGGCAAAGTCAGGGACTGACACTGAGATGCTCTTAAAGGGACAAAAAGGATTGGGAAAGGCAGATTGGCCTATGGATATTACTCATGGAAGGCTTGGCATGGGGAAAACCATAGCAGGGGGTGATTCCTGGTCACATAACAATATGTAACATACCCCCAGGCTTCACAATGCGTGTGGACCAGGCTGACTGCATGGATTGGTTGTCTGTATCGTAACTGGGACTGGAGGAAGAATTTGCTCCAGGCTTGCAGGTACCAGTGGGATATGGCTAGGCGTGTGTGGTTGTTTCAGTGTTGTTTTCTCTCTTCTCATCCTTAGTTCCTCTTCCAGATCTGCCGAGTAGGCACATGATGGGAATCCACTAATGAGTGCTACAGCGAGGCAAGACTTGGGTGTCTTTCCTGGCTGGGCTGTTGTGAGCTCCGTGAACTTGGCCTGGCTTGGATGAAGGTGAGGAAGTCAGCAGGAGGCGTGACATCTGGGAAGACAGCCAGTACCTGTTGCACAGTCTGCTTTTGGGGGGGACTATTGCCTATGGGTTCCCTGGGGACCCCATTATTCCAACAGCTCTGTTAAAACTCCTTGGTGGTGAATGCTAAATTTCTACTGAAACTCTTCCTTGCATTCCAAGTTCTGGTTGGTCCAATTTTCTCTAACGATTTGGCCACAAACCTCTCCAGTTCAGTGCAGCATTTATAACTAACATAGTTTGCTTAAAAAAAAAAAACTTTTTACAATTGAAAAGGAAATCTTACTTTTTTATTTAAAGAATTGCACAGCTGCATCACTTTATATCTGCCAAAATATTAAAGAGAATTAAAAGACCAAATCAGAACGTGTTCAGTTGGACATTTCACACTGTTCTTGTTTATTGGATACCGGGGGAGCATGGCTGAAGGTCATGCCGTCAACATGGGGACTTTGTCTTAATTCTGCCTGCCAGGATTATAAACCAGTATTCGAGTGAGAAAGGAAGATGAACTCCATAGTTGTGGGGAAGCCTGGAGGTTTATAGTACAGGGCCTGCTGGGGAGGGACATCTCACACTTCTCTTATTCTCCTGGTCGCAGCATGTGATGGATAGCCTTTCAGTCCTAGAGGCTATCAGCACTCCAGCCCCTCTCCTTCTGTTACTGTACCCTTGTTCCACACTAGTAGGTGTGGCCTGAAGCCTGTTCTTACAAATAGCACCAGTTTTCTCTGTAGGACAGAGGCTGCCCAAACCTTCAGGCCCTGAAGCTCTGAAATGGAACCTATCACTCCTTTGTCTCACTTGCATAGCCCTGAATCTTTTGTGGATTCTATGGCTATAAAAATCATAAGACCCCGAAGCTTTCTTAGGCATTGGCATTAATTAACATTACTTCTTTAAATGTTTTTAATCCCAACAGAGACTGTGGACTGATACTCCGGTTGGCATGGGGGATGGCAAGAAGAGTAAAAGAATGTGAGACTTACTTTTATAAATATAGAAACTACCACCAATCCGTTCGGACTCTTCGCGGCTTCTGTGACATTTGTGTATAGCTCGTGGTTATAGTGGATGAGCTGTACCTGGCAGGAAGGAAAATCAAGAGTGAAAAGAGCAATCCAGCATCAAAAGGGGTGAGGTACAGTGTATGCTCCGACACAAGGGTGAACTGCAAACATACCGAAGGACAATCGGAAGGACACAGTTTTTAATAGAAGAAATTTCAGAGGGAGGTATAAACAGAATCTATGTGTGTACAATGCATGGACATGCACCATATGAACATACTACCTACACATATTTACAAACATGTCCTGGTAACAAGGGGGCTTAGTTCTTCCTCTCTCCCAGGAAATTGTCCCTAACGTGTATGTTAAGTGAATTTTCCTTATTAAGCACCAACAGCTGCCACAAGCAGTGAGTAAATCTTCCTGGTACTCTTGGGGTGAGCAGGGAGCTGGTTCTTCAGCTTGAAGATGCCATGTTGGTGAGACTTCTCACCTGCTGTAGTCAGGTGGACCTGTTGCCATAATAAATCTCCTTTTATAAATATCTCAATGTATTCTGTTGGTTCTGGCCTTTGGGAAACTCATGACTAGTGAAAATTCAAAGTATCTTTCTTACAGCCCAAATGGCACAGGCACTGGGTGATCAGGATCAATACAAACCATAGATACCTGGCACAGATATGTGGGAGCTGAACATGACTGTCAGAGCTAGTCATTACCATTATCCTCCTCCTCCTCCTCCTCCTCCTCCTCCTCCTCATCATCATCATCATCATCATCATCATCATCTTTATTGATGATCACTATTAACATTGGTTGAGCACTAGTCATCTACAATAAATGTAGGAACCAAAGTGTGGTACATATTGCAAGGGATGGTATACCGGGTGCTTGGAGAATGGGTTTGGAGATCCTTCTCCAGAGATTAACCTTGAGCTGAGATTTATAAATATGGCATTTACAAATAGGACATTGGCACAGAGAAATGTCAGTTGTAATATCACCTCATTTGATTCTCAAAAACTCTATTTCATGATCTACTTTAGATTTATGGGGACACTAGGATTCTGGTTTACCACTTGGTCAAGGAAGTGTAGAGTGGTAAACTGTTCTCATGGTTATAGAGTTCACACTCAAACACCATGTTGCTTCTGAACCTTTGGCTTTGTATTTGTTTCCACCATTAGGTAATTATCTCAAGGGATGGATACTATTCATCATCTTGCTCCTAAAGTTTGCCATGGGATTGGGCCCAGTGTGGAGGTTAGCAAATGTTTGCTGAAGGAATCATTCTACTGCTCAGAGCCTGAGATAAAACCAAGGCTAGCTCATTTCTATTAAACACAAAGAAACTTAGGCTCATGGAGGGTCTTGCTTATCACAATATGATAATTTATACTTCATTCATCAGAAGCATGATAGAGGAGAAGCTGGGTAGGATAGTAGAAGACCATGGAGAACCTCAGAGGTTCAGGTGCTGCTAGGGTCTCAAGCCCATGGTTTTCAGGGCTTTGGTCTTAGACTGAGACTCAGGAGATCAGATGCAGAACTACATTCACATTCTAGAATTTTCTAGGGACCAAAGTCAAAACTTTCTCCAAGCTCCACACTGAAATTTAGCTTTTGAGTTAATTCCCAAGTATTTGTCCTTGCTGAATGAACACCTGCTCTGAGCAGGCTTCTGAGTCCACAGCAAGTTGTTCCTGTCTCTGTCATTGGTCTGGCTGGAAGCAGCCTCTGTTACAAAGCATGATTTTCCCTTTCCAGGAGTGTGTGACAAGTATGTGACCAGTACATGACAAGTGCTTCTCACTCGTGTCTTGGGAGAGTGACCATGCATCTCCCAGGCCCGACACACATGCTCTAGTTTACCTTTCTTTGTGTGACACTCTACCCCTTGTTAAACCTGAGAGAGTCACCTTGTGATGGCATTCAGCATGACAAGGCTATCACATTCAACTCTGTAACAACTCAATGGCTTCCACTGCCCATAGGTAAAGGCCTGTATCTGAGCCCAGCCCTTGGGTAGGCCCTAACTTCTCTAAATGGCTCAGTGGTTAACATGTGTCAGCAGCTTTCTTTTAGTCTACCTTATACACCATACTTTGGCCTTCTTTACAGCCTGTGCATATTCTGTTATTTCTGCTTAATGTATCTTTCCCTTCCCTTTTCAGCTGACTTTTATTTATGAACCCCTTAGAACTCAGCTCAGGGGTCACCCATTGAGGGGGATCCCCGAGAAGTCATTATCACAATCCTGTTGACTTGGAACACACATCACAGTTCTGTTTCCACATTTATTGTGAGAATGATTAGTTCTTCACATCTTTCACTAGACTCTAAGCTTCATTTGGGTAAGAACCATGTCCAGCATCCTAGGACTCAGCACTGTGTCTGTTCATATCTTGCAATGGCAAGATAGAAATAACTGAAATAGATAGAAGAAGAAAGGCAGGCCATGATCAGATGATGAAATGTGATGTCATGAGAAGCAAGGAGAGAGGGTTGCTTGGCTGAACTGGCAGGAAGCAGTCTGAATTCCAGAGGTTCATCCCGAAAGGTATTGAAGACCCTTAGTATCATGTAAAGACTACATACATGTGCAAGCCTAGCTTTATCCCTGAACACCTGAGTAACCCAGGTTATCTTCTTTACATAGGACTACAATGTTACCTACTCCCTAGAACCACTTGTATGGTTTCATGGGCTTGAATAACAGCATTTAGCCCAGGGTCTAGCATGCACTAGACACTCAGTAGTCAGCTGTTACCATGCTTGCTGGTACTTAATGCTTACTTTTGCAGTAGATAATAGAGCCTTTGGCTCCTGCAGAAATCAGGGTGAAGTGTGTGTAGTTCGCTCTTCTGCACTCTGTCTTTCAGTCTGTCTTCCTGAGAACCCCGAGGGAAGTGCTACCTACTGGGGAGAACTCAGTGTATGTTCCCTGCACTAGATGAAGTGAGAGCTTTAAAGAGGAACATGTTCCCAAGCGGCTCAGACGGTAATTTAGCAGGCAACAGGCATTTAATGCAATGAGTAAGATAGTGAATCTTCCATCCTTGGGGCTTGTGGAGCTTCTGTCACAGTGACTTAACTCTGCTTTCCTAGTATTAAAGCAGTCAAAGAGAAAACAGGAAAGAATGGGTATAGCTAGATTCTAAGAAAACTTTATTTGCAACATACTGTGGGCTGGATTTGGTTTGTGGTTATAGTTTGCCCACCATGCCTTGTTTAGGTTGAAAGCTTGGCAAAGTACTTCCAAGGCATTCATTTTCCACTAAGTGTATACAGTGGGAAGAGAATTCAGGCTGGGAGAAAGTAAGCATGAGTCTGTCCCTCCCCCTCATATAATGGCCATTCTTTCATTTCTATAGTCCTTTAAACTTTCCAAAGCACCATCCAAATGAGTTTACTTTGGTCAGCACTTAGGTCCCAGGTGCCCACCCTGTGCTGGACCCCAGGAGTTCAGAGATGAAATCTATAGGTCCCATATCCTCGAGGAGCTCACACAGCTTATCTGTTTGTTCCCAAAATAGACAAAGGATAAAAAAGAAGGCACAGAGAGGTCACACAGCCAGTGACAGCAATTCGGGTCCACTTCACTTTCCCATAACACAGTCAAGAGAAGAGGAAGGTGTTTTGTACTTGAAGGGAAGATTACATTTCAGCAGCTTTTGCTGGAACAACAGTTATAAGCGAGAACTTATTTATAGAAGTCATTAGCAAGTTTGTCTTTATGTGTAAGAGCACACACTCTGCAGAGAAGAGCACGGCTTGATATTTACCAACCGCCACATTCTCACCCTAAGCTTTGGCAATTATCACGGATCTGCCTGGCGATGATGGTTTCCTGTATCCTAAGACATGTAGATGCAATTAAAGCTGCAAATGAAATGAAGCATCCATCATTTCGTTGACTGGAGACCCTAGATATATCATGGCAATGTAAAACACTAGACTAAAGGGATCTTCCCCTCTGGGAGAAAACACTACTTGGATTTTAAGGCATGATTTTTTTTTCAGTGAGTTGTTCTCAGGTTTGAACAAATGCATGGTGTGACCTGTGGGTGCAGGATGGTGCAAGAAAATTTGAGGCTTGGCTTACCCAGATACCTCTATGTCTGAGTAATCTGAGGCCAGCTACCCAGCCCCTCTGTGCCATGGCTTCTTCCTTAGAAGAATGAAAACGCACCTGAATGCTGTCATAAGAATGAAGCAAGAAAATTACCAACATCCTCTTTCAGAATCCAGGCAGGGTCTAAGCAAACAATCACAACAGATGAGGTGATACCATGGAAGAACTGGAATGTTCCCCTGGTGTCCACCCTATGAAACATTTAAAATAGCTGCTTGTAGAAGCCACACTTTCCTTCTGTGGTCCTTTCCCCAAAGCATCTGTAGCCCTTCTGCCTCACAATAGTGAAGCTGCTGAAAGCCAAGGCAGGATGTGCTTCCTGTAAAGAGGTCCATCCACATCCTTCCAGAAGCATCCTCTGGGCTGAGGCTGGTTAGTACCAAGTAGGATTAAAAGGTGGGATCTGAGGGTGCTTTTTGAACCTCCTCTGATGTTACTGTGAGTTCTCATGAGTGGCAGCTTCCGGCAGTTGGAGACTTCTTATTCCCATGCTTTCCTCTGTGTCCACTTATTCTCCTTCCCCTCCCCCTCCACCCCCACACTCACAGGACCTCAGACCCATCCTAGCTCTGGGTATGAGGAAAGAGAGCTCATTGTTCTAGAGCTGAACAACCTGGGTTCAAGTCCCAGGTTACTTAGTCTCTTTGAGCTTCAGTTTCTTCACATGCAAAATGTGATTGCAACATGACTGCTCAAGGAATGACTGACTGTGCTGATTAAATAACTACCACATGCAAATGAGATCAAATGCACGAATGAGATAAAGCAGGCTTCCAATGGAGCATCTGGCCCAGAGTACACATTCATTAAATGGGTGCTGTAATGATTCTTATTGGAAATGCGTGGCTGCCGAGGCACAGACAAGGAAAACGAGGGGCTTAGTGACTTCGAAGTTACTTAGAAAAATGTCAGGCCATCGACATGTTTGGATTGCATTTTC